GTGGCTGCCCCATCTCGGGCAGTGTTGAAGGGCAGGTTGGATGGGGCTTGGAGCAGCCTGGGCTGGTGGGAGGTGTCCCTGCCCATGCAGGGGGTTGGGACTGGATGATCTTTGAGGTCCTTTCCAACCCAAACCATTCCATGATTCTCCACCTTGATCCTGCCTGTTCAGTTCTAAACCAGTGCTGGAAGTAGAAGCATTTCTAGAGGGGACTGTGTTGCTCTGACTCCCACTTTTCTAGGCAGTAAGGGCTAATGCCCTACGTGGGGCTTCAGCATGGGCAGGGGGTTCTTCTGCAGGTACAAGCAGTGCTGGAAGCAGCCTGGGTTAGGAAGGGATTTTTAGAGTCACAGAATACTGGGTAGTGACTGGTGGGACCAATTAGTGCATCCAATAACCTGCATGGAAAGTCCATTTGAGCTTTGTGGTTTGGATCCTGGGTGACTGTTGCTTTCCTCTCTCTTGGCCAAGTTGAAAAGGAGGATCTTGAAGCCCTAGTGATGCTGTCACTGCTGCATTACAAGGAATGCTGAGGTTAGACATTAACTGAGCTCTGCCCTTGCCTGCATGTTGATCCTTGAAGAGCTGACCATTTATTTTCTAGTGTTTAATTTTTCACTTCTGTTCCCCAGAAGAATGCAGAGCAGTTTAACCTTAAGGACCTACCCACCACCTGGGTTTTTTTTTTTTTCATACTGGGGAATGTTTGTCCATGTATCATGAACTTGAATAAGGAGACACATCATTTCCATTCAATGATTTGATGAGGATGATGATGATGATCTGTGTTTGCAGCTGGACATTCTACATAAAATCCCACTGTCATGTAAAAACTGAGAGTCATCTGCCAGTGCCTCGTGAGCAGGTGCCTGTTGTGGCTTTTGGAGGAGTGACCTGCATCTCTTCAGCTCCCACAGGAGCCATCCATGCAGGGCCAAAGGCAGTTGAGCACAACACGACCTGCAGGTCTCTCCAACCAGGACCTGCTGAGCAGCCACACATCGATGTGCAGCCTCCTCTTCACGTGCCACCTGCAGGAACCCCCTGGTTTGAGTAGGATAATTGCAGATGTGATCCTGCATTTGCACCCCCATCATCTGAGCCCTCTTTTCCAAGCACTACCAGGTCTTGGTGTCCAGCTGAATCCAGCTTGAGGGCAGGGATGGAGCATGGAGAGGAAGGAGATGGCTTGAAGGAGCATGTTCTGCTCAGCCTGGAGGATGCAGCAGGCTGGTGACACTTCATCCCAGTGCTCATCCTGAGCAATCTCTCTCCTGCATGTTCAGCTTTGATCACAACACGACCTTCTCCACCTGCCACAGGGGGATTAGGGGAGGGATGATCTCTGATAGGAGGCATCTGGGATGCCAGAAGCCTGGAATCCCCCTCAAAATGGGTGAGCAGAAGGAGAATGTCTGGACTGGCAGCATCAGGCTTTGCGCAGTTACCTGCAAGCTGCAGTCACCAGCATCCTGCTGTGCTGTGTAGCCTGCATGAGAGAGAAACAGGCTGAGCACCAGCTCAGGGGGAACCAAAAGTGGTGTTTCACCAGGCTTTGGTGCTCTTCCCAAACGTGCTGTTCCCAAAAATGAACATTTTTGTTCTTCGCTGGCGAAATCCCGTCCTTGCATTGCCTGGAAAGCTCCAACAGCCCCTTCCCGTTGGTGGTGGGAAGACAAGAAAGACCTGAGACTTAAAGCATGTGCACCCAGAGCTGAGCAAGGTGCATCAGGAAGGGAACTGGTCCAAGAGCAGGAACCAAGTCTCTCACCTGCTGCTTTTGCACGGTGCTGTTTCGCTGCACAGCATCTCGTCGCCGGCTCCTCAGACGTGCCGAAGCCGTGGCTGCTTTGACAACTACATACTAAATTTCTCTGGAAAGAAAGGGGAGAATTGAGTCTGGTGTTGCTACGTGTGCCTCGTGGTTTATTTATAGTTTGTTAGGCAAACCTGCTGACAGGCTGTATGCAACTTACTGCCTGGGGAATGAAGGGAGGTGGGATCGTACCAGCCGCTGCCTGGGGAAGGCATTCCAGAGGCTCTGTGAAACCTTGACATGAGGCAGAAAGTGTGCAGGCAGATGGCAGCTGCTCTAATTAAGACTTACTGCCTTCTTTGTTGTTTTTTTTTCCTGCTGCTGTGGCTTTTAAGGTATCTCCTTTTTTTAACACCAGAAGAACTGTAGTCATTTATTATCCGCACAGCACAGTACGCGTTCTATTCCAGCGATAAAAGAGCTTCAACCCACTGAAGCAAATGTCTTGATTCTTCAGTAAATTGGGCTGTGAGAAGACGAGTCTCCCAAGGCAGTGGCAGCTGAAGATGTGTAAATGAAGTTGCCATTTATTGGTTAGTTCTTACCCTCCACCAGGATCTTTTTGAACGTATGAAAACACGTCGACGGGCTGCGCAGCCGTAGAGGTGCCTGGCAAAGAGGGGCTCCCTAGCAAATGAACATGAAAAGCACACGTTGCCTGTGGGGTGCTCCTGCTGCTGGGGTGCACTAAGCACAGATGAGAATCAGCCCATCGTTTCCCATGAAGTGTAGAGGGGGTTTTGTTGGGTGTTTCTTGGAAGCAGACCCAGCATTTGGAGCATAAAGCTGATTGGGCTCCTGCTGGCGGCGATCGCTGTATCCCCGTTTCAGTGTTTGAGATCAACCCTGTTTTCTTTCCCTTTTTGCCCAGGATTTGTTCCTTGAGATATAAAACAAGGGTTTGATTGATGTTTCAGAATTTCAGAAGCTGTGGAGGAGCATCCCCGTGGATTCTATGGATGAGGAGAAGATTGAAGAGTACCTGAAACGCCAGGGCATTTCTTCCATGCAGGAAACGGGACCAAAGAGAATAGTAAGAGAGAAAAATGACAGATCTTTCTAGGAGATTCCCCCCTCCCTGCCCCTGCAGTGTTAATTCCAAAACATGTTGATGAGCCTGTGCCCAGCTGCTTGGTGCAGCTCGGGGAAGTGTGAGCAGTGTTAAGAAGCTGCAGAAAGCAGTTGCTGCAGCCAGCAGTCAGTGTTTTTGTAACTCGTTTGAGCCAGTGTAATCCAAGCAGCATCAAGGAGAGGGGCAGATGCCAGAAATCCCTCTGAGCTCCAAAGTGGAAGCTTCTGCTTGTGGCTGTGCAATGCACCAGGAGGAGAACTTGACTGGGGGGAGGAGGGTGGGGTTTTTTGAACGTTTCCTTTGCTGCTCAGTAGCTTTGAAGTCCGGGTGGGAGCTGCACAACCTGCACTCTAGGCTGGGTGCAGTGGGCTCATGTGATGCTGGGAGGCCAGAAAGGCTGCAGGCTCTCCAAAGATGCTTCCTTCCTGGCTTCCAAAAGATTTGTGTGTGATCTACCATGTCTTTTGTCTTGGCTTCAAACTGTCCTTTTAGGAGAGCTCTTCCACTCAGGACTTGTTCCTGCTCTCTGCTGGTCCCTGCTGGAGAGGCTTTCATGCCTGTCGTC